AATTAAATTAATTTTAAATAATTTAGATTTTTTTTTAACAGATTTGAAATGGGGGTCGGGGATCGAATACAACCCAAAGGGTTGGGGATGCACCTATCAGGGTGACTAATGCCACAATGCCAAAAGGCTAAGTTTTAAATAGTTTAGGTTTTGATTATTAAATTTTAAAATTAAAAAATCAATTACTAGGATGGGTGTAATTGGAAATTTTGATTTAAAAACTTTTATATACATTTTTTAATGATTTTTAAATTTTTTTAAAGATTTTTAATCACTTTTCATCAAATTATTTATTTATTTGGATATTGGATAAAATTTTAGTTTTTTTTAGTAATAATAGTTAATAAATTATAATTAAGGAATTTAAAAAAATTATTTTATAATTAAAAAAATTATTACAAAATATAAAATAATTTTTTTAATTAAAACTAAAATCAATTTGAATGATTACTTTAAAAGTACCATCAAAACTAATAAAACTCATCTTTTTTTATTTAATTAGTGATTACTAACCTAAAATTTTTATTAACTAATAATATATTTTCAATTGTAACCAAAACTAAACCGTACCCAACCCCTAATATAGGATGCCGTGAGCTTAAGTTGTTATATTCCTCGTTATATATATTTAGTTGCCCTGCTTTTATATTACTAGCTTTGTCAATTTTTAGTTGTAATAATTTTATGTAGTAAATTAAAAAGAGAAATTTAGTTTAAAGTTAAAATCAGAATAATTAATGCTTTAAATTTATTTTTGCTCTTTTCTTTTGTAATAAAAAATTCAATGAAAATATTTAACACAAAAAAATTAGAAAATAGCATTTAATACTTTGATAAAATAAAAATGTGAATATTGTTTTATAATATGTGGACTAAAATATATTTTTAGCTTTTTGCTTTATTAAATTTGAAACTTTTAGCTTATCATCTTATATTATGAAGTTTTTAACCTCTAAACTTAAAGATTCAAAAATTTTAACCCTTAAATTAACAGAACCCATTAACTCTTCGTTAAAACAAGAATAAAATATTTATAGGATCAATTCTCAAAAATTAAAAATGTAACAATTTAATTATAAAAATTTAATAAAAAATTAGTAAACTAAAAAAATCAATGGTTGACTTTCTCATATACACTAGAACAGTATTAAATATTTGTAATGAAATTAAACAATTAGCTCAATTTAAAGAAAGAATTTTAATTGTAATTAAAGAAAATTTATTGGTTAAATTAAGACAAAAAATCCAATAGACTAAAGGAATACAACTAAGAAATTTTCTTTAATTTTAATTAGATTTAATTCTTCAGTTTGAGCTAATTACTCAATTTGATTGTAGATATTTAATATTATTCTCATGTATGTAATAAGTCACCTCCTAATTATTTTTAATTTACTAAATTTTTTTAATTTTTAATCTTTTGAAACTAAATTATTATATTTTTAATCTTTAAGGACTGATCATATAAATATTTTATTCTCACCTTAATGGAGAGTTAATGGATTTTGTTAGTGTAGGAGTTAAAATCTTCAAACCTTTTAAGTTTAGGAGTTAAAAACTTTATAATATAAGGTGAGAGCTAAAAGCTTTAAACTTAATAAAACAGGGGATTAAACGCATACTTTAACCTAATATTTATGAAAAATAAATAAATGGAAGTAGCATGTAATTATGAGAATAGTGTATATTAATATCAACTCAAATTAAAAAAACAGAAATATCAACTTCAAAAACAACATCGGCTAATGCATATTTGTAAAAACTAACAGTTGAATTTAATGTT